TACCCCTATTTTTTATTTTGAAATCAAAAAATATTTAGAGGTCGCTCAAAGCGCTCACAGTTTTCCAGTTTTTGTGTACCTATAAATTATAGTTGCGCTGTAAAAATGTTTAAATAAACAAATGTTAAACAAACAGATATTGTGAAAGGTTGGACTATACCTTAAAGATGACGGTTTTCTCATGGCCCCACTGCCCGAAGCTTAGAGTAGAGTAATGTCTTTTAAGAACTTAAAAATTATCCTGGGTTGTCAGGTGTCTAGCAATACAATATTAATTGTTGTCTTTCACGAAGTTCTTTAAATAAATTTTGAGCTAAGTACTCACCCGTATTTCGGGGGTTACTACTAGTTTTAATAAATTGTTAGTTTAATTTCCTATAAAATTTACCTTCTGGTTTATGCATTTTAAGAATACATCGAAAATTTGTTTCAGAGGGTCAATGTGAAATAATTGCAGAAACGATTAACCGGTTTGCTAAGCAACCGAGACGTCTGCTTTTTAAATAATTTTTGTAAAACAAATCGGCAAGTACATATCGTCCCCCGCATTCCAGAAACATGAATGTCTAAAGATGAAAATTTTGGGAGATTATTTTTTTTAAACCGCTGCATTTGCCCCGCTAGTGAAACGGACCCCAGAATTCCCCTGTTAACGTAGGTATGTACATTGGGGTGGCCCTAGGATTGTTCTATATCGAAAAAAGTATACCCCTATTTTTTATTTTGAAATCAAAAAATATTTAGAGGTCGCTCGAAGCGCTCACAGTTTTCCAGTTTTTGTGTACCTATAAATTATAGTTGCGCTGTAAAAATGTTTAAATAAACAATTGAGTATTATTTATTACTTGGAATCTCCTGCAGATAAACAGAGCTTTCTGGTAGAAAAATATTGATTTTTAACTATTCTGTACCATTTCGACGAAAAGTTGTTTTTTTCCCATATAAAATACATGGAAAAATTTGAGCGCTTTGAGCGACCTCTAATTTTTTTTTTAAATTTCAAAATAAAAAATAAGGGTATACTTTTTTCGATACCCTAATGTACATAGTAAGTGCATGTCTCTAAGTTTTTAGCTACACTTATAAATAAGCGATATTTTTCATTTTGGCTATATAAATACCTTAATCGGTACTTACCATCTTCCATTAATATAACCGGAGCATTGTCGGGATTTCCGCTGGACACTGAATGCGGCATCATACTAAACTCATCCTCCATAAGGAACGGCGGATTCCATCGAGCCCGCGGAGTAGACCGATGTGGCACATTCGATACACCGGTTAACGGAGAGGAATATAAGCTTAAATTAGTTGGACTAATAACCCCGGAAATGGTCGAAATTGAACTAGTATAACCAAGCAGCTATAAAACACAAGAAGCAATTTTATGTTTATTAATGGTAGTCATGGTTGCATGACTTCTCATTAGTTAAATCACAAATCTAGAAATCAAAATGATTTATGAATTTAAAATTGTATCATATCTAAAATAATATAAATTTATTATAGTATACTCGACGAATCAAATCAGGAATAGATTTTAGTTGTGATTTAAATCGTTGGACAAACAAGAAAAAAACTTATTTGTGATTTGATTGGTTGGACAATTAAAATGTAAGATTTATTTGTGATTTGATTTGTCGACCAAATGTAAACTGCATTTTATTTGTGATTTGATGTGTCATCCACATAAAAACAAAATTCTACTTACTTGATTCGTCGAGCAAAACTTGAAGATCGTGCTTGTGTTACATGAATGGAAAAATAACGAATCAAACTGATCTGTAGCTCATTTCTGTAACAATTCTCTACCAAGGCGAATTGAGATATGAATTCGCCGCCTTGTTCTCTACTGCTAATGAGTAGTAGAGAATGACGTTTATTCTCTACCAGTAGAGAAATAATCGGTAGAGAAGAGTTACAGAAACGCAGTGTTGCCAACTTTTAGTTTTCAAAAATCACCTAAAACTTGTGAAAAAAGCGTTTTACCACACTAAAAGCACCAAATATTTTTGAATCAAAGGATGCTTTTTTCATAACGGTTTGTATTTAACAAAAGCAAAAAATTAACAATATTTACATACATAAATCAATACACAAAACTTTTTCGCTCATAACGATTGAATAGCCTCTACACATGCTATGATGACTCTTATGACGTCGTACCGAAGTAGTGCCCATTAAAGCTGGTATATCTCGAGAAAAAAATCGAATCGCAACAAACGAAAATGATGCCCTAAGTAGAAATGCGCAAAAAAATTTGATGTTTTCATTATTTAACCTCAAATATCGCCAAAACCGTGTTTTTGGCACTTTGAGGTTAGGATATCTAAAAATTGTAGTGCTAGAGCAATTGTGCGTCCAGATTTGGCTTCAACACCCAGAAACGATGTGTTTTACTCAGGAGGTAAAAAAAATCAAAATTTGTACAAATAAATAGAAATGAAAAAAAGAAATACTTAACTTACTTGCGTACTAGCATTTTCAACGCGAATCGAATTCAACAAGGTGGGTTTGCAGCTTTAGCTGGTTGTATTTTAGTGCATTTAAATTTGTAGATTCTGGTAACTTCAGTGCTGCCACAGCTTTAAATATTTCAGGTTTTTACTATCTCGGAGTAATTTTAGTTCAGAAAAAAAGCACTAAGAAAGGCACTAAGCACTAAATAATTTTTTTTTGCGTTATAATTTTCAAAAAGCACTAAATCTAGTGCTTAAAGCACCAAGTTGGCAACTATGCAGAAACGAGCTACTGGTCGACAAATAAGCTTTATTTTTTATTTTCCCGACGAATTAAATCACACAAATAAAATCAGTTTTTAATTGGTTGACGAATCAAATCACAGATAAATTATATTTTGTACTTGGCCGGCGAATCAAATCACTCATAAATTTTTGTTTTTTATTTATTCTACGAATCAAATCACAAATAAAATCTATTTTATCGATTAATCAAATCACAAATGAAATAGATTTCTTAAATAATAACAGATTTAAAATAAAAAAGGATTTTAAATCACGCAACCCTGGTGTAGTTAATATAGCTCATATTATTGAAACAGGTATTTAAAACTGGTTATACATGTGTGTATATACTCGTATGTATGTATGTCTGTATAAAAATAAATCTATACACATATTTATTGTTTATTAGAGCCCTTTTCCCTACACCGAGAAAATAAATTAGTTATTATAACCAAGATTTGGTTGGTATAGTTGAATATGCCGAAATAAACATTTGGTTAAAAAAACTTTGATTTTGAACGTTTTGTTTGACACTGTTATCTTGAGTGGTCTTCTGTTAAATCATATTATTTTTTATGAAGAATAAATAATGCTTTGAATGAAACAACTCCCAATGGGACTTGCATCAGGATAATTTCTTTAAATCACGGACGTTGGAAAAAATATATCAGTGTAAAGTATGTACTTATAATCATTATGTTGGCATGTAAGTATTTTAATAAATTCCTATATTTGCCCTAGTTATGGACCTTGTTTAAACTGACACATTAACATTAACATTAACATTGACTCAATTAACAGGGAATCGTTATAAACACTTGTGTTCAGAAACTGCAATTATGTACGACTTCGTTTTTTGTAAAATGTCAAATCAAATTTTAAGTTTCTAAAATTACGAAAAATATATGCAAAAAAATATAAAGGACATCTGTCGCCTGTTCTCGAATTATTTTTAAATATTTCAGCAAAATAACACACCTGTTCATACCACAGAAGGTGCTATGGCACTTATAACACTTATATGTATGCAGATCCCTATACCTACATATAAACTAGACAATGAACTAAAAATACTTTAAAAACTGTTAAAATCTGCAATTTCAAATATTTGAATTGACAATAAAAAATCGCATTATAAAATATAAATATGTCATAACGTTATCGCCTGAAAACTAAAAATCGGGCTGCTGAAAATATACATTTCTGACATTTTCTCAAAAACTGGTTAGTCGATTTTATTCTAGGTTTCCACAAATCTAGCACAAAACCTTAGCTTTCATCTGGTATATACCCTATATCTGGGAAAACTGTTGTTGTGGAGATATTGCGATTCAAATTAAAAAAATGTCGCTCCAAAAAGGGTCAAATTGTTAAAAATTAACATATCCGTATAATTTGGTTACTTTAAGACATATAAAAAACATACAAAGTTCCCCGAAAAAATTGCCCATTCCCCGATTGCCACTTAAACCGAAATTCCCTGCAAATCGGGGGAATTTCCCGTGAGTTGAAGTTGTCTTGGAAACCACAATTTGTGTGTATTTTAAAGTTTTTTTCCAATCACATGCCCAAATTGTAATATTTTTCACCATTTTAATTGTAGCTATGTACACCGAACACGTGATAGAAGTAGGGTGGCCAGATATTATAGTGACATAATCAGTACAGTTGGGGTCAAAAATCAGTACAAAGCCATAAAAATCAGCTCATTTTTAAGCGTATTTTTTATTATTAACAATATAACAACCAAATAACAGCCCATTAATTAACAAAAAAATAGCGAATAGACTTTTAAATACATATGCAATCTATATATATAAAAATGAAATGTTTTCCGTATGACGGCGATGCCTGACCAAACGGCTGAACCGATTGCAATTCTGTAAAAAGTACTTTTTTGGACCTTCTGTGTGGAAGGTTTTTCGATCTAAAAAAATTTCAAACTTTTTGTTGTTGTTGCCGAAAAATGAAGAATGCTGAGACGTCACGATTTCGCAATTTCATAGAGTTTTCTGTATATTTGATGGCACTAAACTACTAAACTGCTTATAGTAGGGTATATATACATGAGTTTTTAAAAAGGGGCGTGGCACATCCCATAGGCGTGGAATTTTTTATGAGTTATAACTTCGGAACCATAGGTCCCAAGAACTTGAAATTTGGTATTCAGACATATCTATGGTAGGTGATATAATAAGGTATATATAAATGATTTTGTTAAAGGGGGTGTGGCACATCCCATGGGCGTGGAATTTTTTATGAGCTATAACTTCGAAACTTAAATCACATGAACTTGAAATTTGATATACAGACATATCTACGGTAGGTGCTTATAGTAAGGTATATACGAAGGAGTTTTTAAATTGAGGCTTGGCACATTCCGTAGGTGTGGAATTTTTTATCAGCCATAACTTCGAAACCATAAGTCACATGAACTTTAAATTTGGTGGGCAGGCATAGCTATGGTATGTGCTTATAGTAGGCTATAAATAAATGAGTTTGTAAAAGGGGGCGTGGCACATTTCATAGCCGTGGAATTTTTTATGAGCTGTAACTTAGAAACTATAAGTTACATGAACTTCAAATTTCGTATGCGGACATATCTATGTATATGAATGGGGCGTCATATACCATAGGCGGGGACCTTTTATCAGCTCCAACTTCGGAACCATAAGTCCCAAGAACTTTAAATTTGGTATTCACACATATCTATGGTAGGTGCGTATAATAAGGTATATATAAATGATTTTGTTAAAGGGGGTGTAACACATCCCATGGGCGTGGAATTTTTTATGAGCTATAACTTCGAAACTTAAATCACATGATCTTGAAATTTGATATACAGACATATCTACGGTAGGTTCTTATAGTAAGGTATATAGGAAGGAGTTTGTAAATGGAGTCTTGGCACATTCCGTGGGTGTGGAATTTTTTATCAGCCATAACTTCGAAACCATAAGTCACACGAACTTTAACTTTGGTATTCAGGCATAGCTATGGCAGGTGCTTATAGTAGACTATAAATACACAAGTTAGTAAAAGGGGATATGGCACAGCCCATAGGCGTGGAAATGTTTATCAGCTATAACTTCAGAACAATAAGCCCCACGAACTTGAAATTTTCATATGCAGGTATAGCTATGGCAAGTGCTTACAAAAAGATATAAATGAATTTGTAATCCGCGTGGAAATTTTTTTAGCTATAACTTAAAGACCATAAGTCTCATGAAATTGAAATTTGGTATGCAGACACATATATGGGAGCTGTTTAGAGTAAAGTATATATAAATGAGTTTGTAAAAGGGGAATAAATACATATGTATTCATCTATTAGATCACTCAGATATTTAAAACTGTGTTTTTTTTTTTGAAACCTTAAATTTTTTAGATCATTTCGAAATGGAAAGATTCAATCGTTTCTTTGGTCCCGCGTTGCTGTTAAACGAAAAATGTTCATTCATAATGAATAAAACTTCTTCTGAAATAAGCATTCTACCGAAAAATTACAGCTATACTAAAGCAGCGAAGCGAATAGGCAGCTAAACGGAATGCACCGTAGTAAACTAATTTAAAAATTATATCGTTACCTTAATTCACCTAACATTAATAATGGAACAAGATTTGTAGTATAGAGAGTGATGATCAATATATGTTAGTTGAAGTACGATAAAGCTAAAAATATGGCTCATAAGGATGACTTAATTTAAACAGAAAGAAAATAGTTTTTCTCGTCTATTTGAATTACTGTTTTATATTTTGATTTGTTTACCCCGGACGACGTCGGGTGCTCTGCTTGTTATCAATATAAAAATTCATTACTTTAAAACAAATCAAATTACGTATGTATGTACAGCTGTGCGCACGAAAATAGGAGTAAAATGTATTGACAGGTTTTGAAATTTTTTTCTTTCCTTACTTAATTTAATTTTTTTATAAAAATATAATTAATTCTATAACAAAAGACAAGTGAGTTAAAGTCTCAAACTTTCTAGAAAATTTATAAAAATTGAGAAAATTCAAAAAAAAAATTTAGCCCATTCAGTTTCAGTAGAAGACGAGCTCGAGTCAGAATCTGTTTGCATATTTTAAGCTACAAATTTAAAACATATTTAGTTGGTGTGCTTATTAAATACAACATTCACATTCAAAACTACATATATCATATCCAAGAGTCGGTAGTTTGCACGTTTTCCAAATTCTTAGAACTTACATTGCACCGTAGCAATAGTCGTCTTAAGTTTGACATACTGACAGCCGATTTCTCAGTGGATGTTTAATTATAATCAAAACATTGGGCCTTATGCATAAAAAGTGAGCTTAAGCTCAGACTCAATTTTTGCACTGAAAGGGTGAGCTCAAGCTCAAGAATTTGTACTGAAAAACGAGTCGGAGCTTAAGCTCACTTTTTATGCATGAGGCCCATTATCTCTTATTGTCATCTTCTCAGTGTACTTAATATATGATTAACTCACCACCACCTTTCATAAGATTTATTATAAAACCTGCAAATCGTGAAGTTGGGGTGGGTTGAATCCAAACAGTTTGTTATTTTGCGAAATCCTAGGAAACAAGACAATTGCAAGCTGACACCTTTTTAATAATGGTTTCAATCTGCTCACACGTATGAGTTGTCAAAAACCATTGTTTTGAACATGTAAACCTCAAGTAAATGTCAATTACACCAATTTACAAAAGTATTTATTAAATGTAAAAATCAGTACAAAATCAGTTTAAACTCAAAAAATCAGTAGATTTTGCATACTGATTTCGGGCTCTTAAAAATCAGTACAATAGAAAAAACTCAACTCATGTACTGATTAAATGAGCGCATCTGGCCACCCTAGATAGAAGTTTAACTTCTTAAAAAAGCGCAGGTGTGCACCCCACACCCGGTAGAAATCTTAACAAAAATAAGCTACAAGACAAGCAGACGAATACAGTTGTTAATTGTATCCAATGTTGGTACCAAGTTGATAATTTTTTATTATTTCTCACATTTTTTTTATTTTTTCGAGTACAAAGGATATGATCACTCTTTTTAGCTTTATCCGTATTCGAAAAACTATGTGTTTCAATGGACACATCGATTTGAATACATAATTTAGATTTAGATAATATTTTTAGCAATTTATTTGAGAAAAATAAAACATTTAGATTATTGTTTGTATTTTCGTCGATTTTAAATTTGCTAAAATTTTCGGAACGTTGCGAAATCCCGTCTACTGCTAGAAATACAAAATAAAAAACAGAACTCTTGCAACGATTCGTATGAATAAAAAAGATTTTCCGTACGTTTCAAAGGCAGTTAAAAAATGCGTATAATTTTCGTCACGAAATTAATATCGAAAATTTTGTGTTTCTAGTTCAGCTTTCGTCACTCGAAAATTTTACCTCAAAGAGGTGTTTTATTTGATACCAAATACAACTAAAACTTTCTGGAGCTAAATGAGTGCTAGATAATTTTGAAAAGAGCTAAAAAAAAAGTTAGGAGCTAAAGCCCAATTTTCTGAGCTAAATAGAAAAATAAAGAGTTAATCTAACTCCAAAATCACCAAAATGGCTACACTGTTGACAGTATTTACTTCCGGTGATAAAAGCTGTATGTGTTTTCTGGATAAAGTTTTTTCCTTAACTTGGCATTAAGCTGATGAAGCTTAAGGCCTCAGTAGCTTTGATTTTGAAGTAAAATAACAATTTATTGTTATTTTCTTGTTATACTAAATTAAGGGTATACTTTTGTAGGTTTAATCTAATTCTTTCCTAGCGACAAAGCCGATGTCTTTCTCGTAACCTGTTAAAAGCGCCAAGTCGATTTTTTTATATGGTTAACATTGTAATGTATATTATTTGAAAATGCTCTCAACCAAGAATCAATGTATACTGCTTTTAAGCAAGAGCACGATGATTCGATTCGTGTACATACGTACATGCATACATACAAGTACATACTCGTACTTTTTTGATAATATACTTACTGGAGTAGTCTGTGCATGAAAATGATTGAAATACTCTCGGCTGGTGGCTGCAGAGTATGACTGTGTCGCAATACGACCAATTGACGATGATTTTGTACTACGTACAATGTCTATGTGCGCCTGCGGACTCAAAGGAGGGGGCGGTGAGCTCGACACAACAATGTCAGTTGAACTACTACTGCTGTTATTACTGGTACCCGATATATTTGTTTGGACATTAGAACTTGTAACGCCGGTGGCGACATCGGTTGTACTCGAAACGGAAGAGGCATTTCCGTTACCTCCATTGATGTTAGTAGAGGTGTTTGCAGTCGCCATTTGATTATTTGCTTCGTCGTGTTCCACGGTGTTGTGAAGAGAATGTGTGTGATTGTGAGATTGTGTGTGGTTGTGAGATTGTGTCTGATGCTGATCCTGTTGCTGTGCATGTTGTTGCCGCGATGATTCCTTAGCCGAGTGGCTTGCGTTTGGTGGTGTGGCAGATGAAGGTGGAGATTCGACCATCGTCAAGTCACCTGTAGACCTTATTATTGCCACTGGTCGAGCCATTGGCGGTAAAGGCGGCGGAGGTAGCATTGTGCTATATTGTTGATAATGAGATGCCGTCGCAACTGGTGAAGTTGCAGCAGATGAAAATTTCGGATTACGATTCGTTATAGAACCGACCGCTCCAGTAGTAACGGTTTGCAATTGGAAATGAGTTTGATGATGTGGCGGGCGATGAGCTTCGTTAATGTGTGCGCTAGAACCTCCAGTTTCCTGACAAACATATGTCACAAAATCGGACATGTCATGACCATTGGCAACTTCTGAAGAATATTTTGAAATCGAGGCAGCAGCTACTGCAGCAGTTGCCGCTAGTTGTGAGCCATGACCGTCCAAGTGTTGTTGATTCTCGTTTTGTTGAGATTGTTGTGGCTGATGATGGTGGTTCTGTTGAGTGCTGCTATCATTAGAATCCGATGGACCAGTCGGACTGTTATGTAACTGGTAATATAAAGCTCCGGGGCTTACCGAATTCGTAACCAACGCAGACGTCGCGTTGTGTTGTATCAGTACTATAGTTTACAATTTTAAAAATAAAAATACAAAAACAAACTGTAAACAAGTTGACTGGAACTTATTTATTTTAGAAAATATATAGTGAACTAAATTCGCTAAAACATCCACAGACTTTGATAAAGATTTGCTTCGACCTTTTTCACAACATCCTACGTTTTAATATATATGCCTTGATCAGATGATTGTAGTTGTAAATTCAGAGCTTCACAGAAACGTTTTCTAAACATGAATTATTGAAGCGATTTTTTAATGCAGGTTTTTAAAGAAAAACCTGAAATTCAGATTTATTTTTGTATGTGTCATAGAATGGATGTAAATATTGGCTTTTTTGGGGTCAATTTTCGTTTTTGGAATTTAATTGGTTTAGGGTAAAAGAAATACCTTTCGGTACAAGTTAAATATAAATCTGCCAAAAAACGAACGTTTTAATGCAAAAATTTGATTGAAAATATGGCTCATTTTTGTTCATTCGGCATATGAGAAATATTGTTTGATAACTTCTAAGTATGCTTATTTGATTATTATATTCCATTCGATATAATGCGCGAACGTGGACCACCCACTTATGCACTTTTAAAGCTGTATACTATGTACGTATGTATGTTAAAAGTGGATCTTGTCAACCGAACGCGCAAAATAAAGAAAACAAGAAAGAGCAATAACGTCCATGCATTTTACTGCGCTTCAGAAAAGGTAATAGTGTCCATGGGCGTTATTTCCACTGACTTTATTACAAGTCACCGTAAAGCTTGCAGGATTTTTTCAATTACGTATTAATATCAGGATCTTAAAAAAAAATTGTATACCTTCTGCGTAGTGAACTAATGTCAGTGACATTATTACTTAAGGGCTGACTATAATGTGAATAAGCTGCCGTAGCTGACTGTCAGAAAATTAACGAAAAGTCTGTCAAATGCATAAGCAACGTAGTGTAGACTTTTAGGTGGCTATATTTTACTTACATGTGTTCAGTGTTGCAAATTTTTTTTATTTTTTACCCAAAATCACCAGAAAAAGTTACCAAATTCAACAAAAAATTACCAAACTTATTTTAAACTAAACTAAAATTTCGGAGCACTTTAAAATCCGCATTTCTCCTGTTATGACCAAAGAACGTAGATAACAAGAAGGGACAACTCGTTATAGTTGTAGCGAAAGTGAGTAACAGGGGCGTGCTTCTGGAAAAGGACTTGGTAGATATAACAATACCCACTATCAAGCAAACTGTTGTACATCACACAATTATAGTAACCTAGGAACGCCGAAGAACTGTTCGCCTTGCGAAACTTTCAGATTTACCTGGTATTTCTGTTAAAGGAAACACTTACGGCCCACTTCCTAATGTGGAACCAGAACTTGTTTTAACCTATGTTACATGTAGGACTGAATCGAAAAAGTTACCAAGTTGAAAAATAAGTTACCAAATTACCAAATATGATAAACAAAATATTACCAAAGCGACAACACTGCGTGTGTTACATATGTACATACATACATACGAGTACAAACAGCTGATTCCGTACGGAAGGTGCGACCAGTATCGCTCTTTCCTTAAGCAAATGTTAACGAAACTTGATGTTAAGTACATTATAGTTTCAGAATAGGATTTATGTGTATTCGCACGTTTGCATACGCTTGCTTATTCATGTTATAGTCAACCCTTTAAGTAACCGAACCTAAGACCGAATTTCTTGAAACGAATATCCCAAGAACTGGCCAGACACGCCCTCACATTGATCTTGTTCGTAAACAGTCGCATTGCTTTTGGTGTGGGTATGTGTGTAGAATTTCGGACGCAGTCGCATTGAAAAAATGCCAATTATTTATTGCATGAAAAGTATAAGCAAATAATCAAACTTGTGCTTTGTGATAAAATTTGCTTGAAAGAACGCAAAAGTGTATGAAACCTCTTTTGCTGTATACGCAAATCGATAAAGCAACGGGTAAACTTTTGACATACCGTGTTGTTGCCTGGCACATGAGAGTTAATAAATTCATTTTCATAAACATAAAAGCTAGAACCTTGTAGTAATTGAAAAAAACTCCAAATATGGCAACTACAGCAACAAGAAATCAAACCAATTAATGCTCGTCAGATACATATCAACGTTTAAATTACATATCCGCGTATCGTCGTTCTGCAAAACCGCTTAACTGATATTTTTTGCCAAAAATTGTGTTTGCTTACAGAAGCTCTTGGATCAAGCCCTATCCATTCGTCCTGAAATATACTAGCCAGAAATGCGATTGCGAGAGAGACCCATTTTGAAATATTACTGTTTTTACTCTCTACAAAATAATTTATGCAATCTCCCATACGCGGTTTCGCATTATGTTGATACGCTGTTTTGTACTTTAAACGACGATATGCATCGGACGAGCATTCATTGGTTTGATTTTTTGTTGCTATAGTTGCCATCAGTGAACTTTAAAAATATTCTGTGCGGTATAATCTGGAAAAAATGTGGTAGATTTCAAAAAAATTTGGTAAATCTCTGGGTTTGGATCAAACTTTGTACAAAAATTAAAAAAATTCTGCAAGGTTTCACCTAAATGGCAAACTTTTTAATTAGACTCTAAAAAAATTTAATTTTGGTGTAATAAAGTGCAAGATTGAAGTTACCAAAAATTGCGTTGGGTTTTGGCAATTTTTTCCTTGACAGTGTAAAGCAGTTCCTTCAATATTAAGATATTTTTCGAACATATTTTAAGAAGTTTCTGCAACCTTGCGGAGTGCTGCCAACTTTTCTTTTTATCACATCACGAAGTAGCGAACAAATGTGACACGTTCCAGAAACAGCTAATTGGGATTTACCGATTTTGACAATTCTCAAGTAAAAGTAAACAACGCCCAGCGTTCGGACTACTGAAACTCGATTCAGGAATAAATGACTCGAACAATCGGAGCAAAAAGGAAATTTTCGGAGCAGATTAACATTTTTTATTAAATAGTATAGTATTGAAACGGGGTGCTTGTAAATCAGCTTGATCTCTAAATAGTATTCAAACCAAACTTTCCATGAATAATATAATTTTTTTTTAAATAAGTAAATAATAAATTTCTGAACTTTAATTTAACTTTCAACGGTTTCGTCATTAAGCCTGTTCCTGTATTTATTTTTAATGAGATTCATCTCTGAAAATTTTTGCACTACTGTGCAGTAAAACATCTAATGTTAAGAAGTAAAAGAGACAATTTCTGTTTCACCTTGATAAACAAAACCTTGGTGGTTGCCCTTGAAGTTATTGAGCAAAAATCTAAAAATTTGGCATATTATTTTTAATAAATTCTTAATGTGAATGGAAAATAGTAAAAAAATCGGAGCATATTTAAGTCAAGCGGAGTAGGGAGTAGATTTTAAATTTAAAAAAGAAATCGGGGTAAATCTACTCCGATCGGAGCGAAGTCCGGACGCTGCCAACGCCTCGGAAATATTAGATTTGCTAATACTTTCACAAAATTGCCGTTTTTTAACATAACATATATTTTGCAATTTAACGCAATAAAACCGCGTTTCCCGTCGAAAAATTTATTACTGAGAAAATTTACTATTTTACAGTTTATTTTATCCTCCCATTCGGCTTTGTTTACTTTTACTTGAGAAATTTCATCGTCGCTGGGATTGCGGAATCTTGTATTATATCATTCTTTGTTACCATATAAGTGTTTACTGTTGGACAATTTTTGCTCTTTAAATTAAGACAATTATGCCAAGCAAAAATAAAACTACTCAAAAACGCGAATATGTGGTAGATATTAGACCTTGAGTTGTAGCTGTGGTAGATGCTCAAAAAAGTGGCAGATCTACTACAATGTGGTAGAAGTCCGATCACTTGTTGCCATATTTGGCTTTTATATTTATGAAAATGAATTTATTAACTCTATTAATATGCCAGGCAACAACACGGTATGTTTTGCGACCAGCCGCAATCCCGTGAGAGGGGGTCAATTCACCCCGGCCCGGCTGCATGTCAGGGGCCCGGCGCACATAGGGGTATTTTGCCGGTCTAGCCAGCCTAATTTATTGGTATCAAACGGATCGGAGAGGCCCTTCCCAATTCTGACAAAGCTGATGGTATTGCTCAATGTCATTTTACACAGCCGTATTAGTTTCGCTTTAAATCCACAAACAGATGGTGAGTTTCGACCCTTTTCTCGAAGGTCTTTTCTAAGATTTGGCGTATTGAGAATATCTGGTCTATGGTGGATTTTTCAGGTCTAAAGCCACACTGATAAGGTCCAATTAGTTCGTTGACAACAGGCTTCAGTCGTTTACACAATACGCTCGACAAGACCTTGTAACCTATGCTTTTAGAAGGCCGGGGTCGCCTTTCTTGTGGATTGGGCAGAGCACATTTAAATTTCAGTCGTCGGGCATGCCTTCATCTGACCATATTCTGCATAAGAGTTGATGCATCCACCAAATCAGCACCTCGCCGCCGTACTTGAATAGTTCAGCTAGCAGGCCGTCAGCTCTAGCAGCTTTGTTTTGTATTTCAGTCGCGTAATTGCTATTCGTACCCCGTCATAGTAAGGCGGTGGAACATCGACTCCGTCATCATCGATTGAGGGCACGGGTTTGTCTTAGGGATGTAAAAAAAACATCGATGTATCGAGCAACATCGATGGTCGTTGCTTCAAACATCGATGTTTGTCGCTATTTTCATGAACCCGATGTTTAGTCAAAACATCGATGTTTGACTAAACATCGGGTTCATAAAAATATCGACAAAACATCGATAACATCAAAGATGTTTTTTTACTAATATTCACCATTCCATTTTGTGAACGCTTTAAAATTTTGAGCGAGCGTTTGATAAATAAGTATATACTTTCATGGAACCATGCCCAAGTAAGTTCCTTTAACAAATTCTTAAATTCCAATTAATAAATGTACATATAAAAGTAAGAAATAGTTTAATTGCTTTAAAACTAGTGAAATCGTAAAATTGGTTAATACATTACTTAATACTACACCTCGTTTAAATATATAAAACCCGCCAATTATTGACTAGTTTTAACAATTATTTTTTTTGTATTTGATTTTTGTTATTTTTGTAAAAATTTAGTTCATTTGTTAACAAAAACTATAAATCCAATTCAAAATTGTGAGCAATATTTAAAAAAAAATCAGCGGGCTCTTCTAAAAACATCGATGTTTTAATTCGATACATCGATCTACCATCTCGATTCCTCAAACATCGATAGTCTCATTGTGATTTACAACCCTACTTCGCCTTCTCCACAACATTCCGTGCAGCTACCATTCAGTAGGGTTGAAAAGTGATCCCTCCATAATTTAAGCACGTTCTGGTCATCGGTCACTAACTCGCCATTGTTGTTCTTACAGGAGTTCCCTGGTCTTGAAACCTCCCGTAAGTTGCCTAACTCTCTGGTAAAATTTTCGGGTGTTTTTCCTGTTGGCCACCATTTCAATCTTTTCGCGCTCGGCCTGTTTCTTTTTATTGTGGCAAATGCGTCTCGCTTCCCTCTTCAGTTCCCTATAGCGGTCCCATATAGCTTGCGTTGCGCCCGATCGTGGCGTGGCCATGTAGGCGGCATCTTATTTCTCTGCAGCTTCTATACACTCCTCGTCTTACGAGTTGCTCTTTAGGCATCGCTGAAATCCGACTTCTTCTTCGGGGGCGATACTTAATGAGCGGGAAATGTGGTTCCGCTGCCCGCATATGTCGGTTTAAGTGCTGCCGCGGGGACTTCAATTGAAGTTTTTTACTTCACTTTAGAAGCATTCACTTCGCCACTTCATTTTACTTCACTTTCCACAAATTATATTTATCTCCAAAATAAATAAAAATGAAATAAATTATTTATCTAACGAAAATCATCAATCTTTTGCTAAAATTCTTGTTAAGTAGTAAGCGTGGCAAAGTAACTTTTCGCAATAAGCTACTAAGAAGACTCCTACAAAATCTCTGATCTGGAAGAAGTCATTTTGATTTTAATTTTCACATGTATAGTTAAGCGCACAGAAATGAATTGGTGGATAAAATTTCATAAGTATTTAGTAAATATTTGATGAAAATAACATTTATATTTTAGTTGTCATATATCTTCAATTTTACAGCAAAAATGAAATATTTAAATGAATCTCGGGATGACGTTGCTGTTATGTATCTGGTGGTGGTTTTGTTGCTGTGAATCGATAACCAATTAATTATATTTTAGTGTTAATATCCCAGTTAACTGTAATTTACGATTTTCATTCCTAAACGTTTGAGACATTGTGATTTTAAAGATATTCCAGCACTGAATTTGCACAGGAACACAATATATTATAAATTAATAAAGGTTGAAGATTACTTTTATTGTGATAAAAAAATAATCGATTAACCAATCAGATGATAAATAATCGTATTGAAAAACCCCACACGCCTAATTGTGCTTGAAAATCGTCACTTCGATAATCACTTCACTTTTCCTTCCAAGTCACTCCGAAACACTTCACTTTTAGTGTGTTTTCACGTCGCAAATGGCAGCACTGGTCGGTTTGTTGAAGAGTGCTCTCTGAAAGCAGGTGTTAGAGCCAAGTAGCGAATGCATTGGCTGTCTGCTGTGATTGCAGCTTTTCGACTTTACGCTTTCCTTACAGTTTTCGGTGCACCTTTTTTGCTGCACAGAGGTGGATGCGTATCGTGGCTGTACAAGATAGTGGTCCGAGTCGATGTTTGGGTCTCGGAGTGTACGTACGTCTAAAATACTGGAAGCGTGCCTTCTGTCTATCACAACATGATCGATTTGGTTTTTCGTTTTTCGATCTGGAGACAGACACCCAGCTTGATGGATATTTTTATACTTGAACCTAGTACAGAATACTAGCATGTTTTGGGCCCCGGCGAAGTTGATCAGCCGCAGTCCGTTGTCGTAGAGGCTGAATTTTCCGACGGTGGTTCCAAAGATCCCTGGCTTGCCCATTGATATCGTGGCAGGGGCAGCGCTCATAGAAGAGATCCTTGGACGCCTCTTCCTTACTTTCCGTCCGGACATGGGCGGCGATGAGCGATAAGTTGAAGAATATCAGCTTGACATTGATTGTGGCTAGCCGCTCGTCCGCCGGGGTGAACGACAGTAATCGGCGACCACGATGCGGAAAAAAAGGTGGCGCCATTCGCGGACCGCTACCCCTCTCTTCTTCGGTTTGCTAGCATCCATCCATTCGCTTACGTCACACAATATTTTTGTAAACATTCACTGTTTCTAGCCTGCAGCTTTTCACACTAAATTTAGCGCGCATTCAAAACACGAAAATTTTTGAGTTTGGTGCTTGATGCGTTTTTATTTTTAAGACACCAAATTTGTAAATCTTAAAAAAAATTTAGCAAAATATATAGCCATCGTAAGTGAATATGTGGCAGCACCTTCAATCATGCCAGAAGGAATCGACCGACGAGCAAGAAACACTGATTCTTATTAATTTGAATCGGCATCCTTACAATAAAATTTTTTAAATACGCCAATAAAAATTGTGTGCTTTCTTCGAGAAATAACGCCATTTTTCTCGAGTTTCAGGGCTTTTTCAAATTCAAAACATGGCAACACTGTCTTTTGTTCGATTCGTCCTCTTCTTCTTGTTGAGTTCCTCTTTGCTCTCTCCTGCTGGTATTTGATGACGTCACGCCCGGTTGCTCTCAGCTCGATTGGCGCCATGGAGTCTCTCTCCCACCACAAATCTAACACTGAATTTGCGCTCCTTTACATGGCAACTTTAGTAGACGTCGTAAGGCCCTAGGCACTTCTTGCCTTGCCCCGTCCAACACATTTCTTGGATGGCGGTGGTATTAGCTTTTATCTTTACAAGGACATCAACCAGGCGGGCAGAGGCACCTTCCCCATTAAGGGTCCGCACATTCCAGGTGCATTTCCTCAAATGGTAGTCCTTTAAACGTTTGCCATAGTCGTCATCAAAACAGGGTCTCCTCCGAGGCTTTGTGTAAATTTTTATTGGAAGTGGTTTTTACGTGGCGGGTCCCAAACCCAAAGCCATTGCTGGGACGGGTGGTTTATTATTATTTATTTAATTTGTATTATTTCTCACAACTCCTTGATTGGCTAATGAAATATGCCGGTAAATATTTTCTTAAAATTTTTGATTAAAAAATGGAATAAAACAAGCAACATTTAAAAATAAGAGTTATAAATTTTTAAAATAATTCTGAATAATTTCAGATATGTTTTTTGCCTTTAATTCAAAATGAGAACTGTAAACTTTAAGGTGGCATAAAATGAAAAAGATTACACTGGTCTACAAGGGTTTTGCGAATAAGACGGGACCTGGTGTTTCCGAACGGATTTTTCGTGCTGAACACGAATCTGGGGTCCAAAACTTCCCATCACGTCACGTTTTCGAGAAAAAAGGGGTTGAAACCCCTAAAAACAGCGTTTTTGGACATTTTCGAAAAATTGTAGAGCCGAACCCTAACGTGCTACAAACTTTGCATATGTCAGAAATTAAAGGTAAAATTGTGCCCTTTCGAATGAGCCTTATGCCAAGTTGATCGCATGTGCCCTTGGAGCAGGGGGTGTATTTGTGTCTAGGGGTGCAATTTTTATATCCACCATATTCGACCCGTCATCTTAAATTTTTAAAATCTAACTGCAGATTCGTAATCAGCGACTTTTAATATAGTTAAAACCTTGGCATTATTAATTTTCTATGATCATTTAAGATTAAATTCTTTCTGTGATCAATTTTTCCTGCACCCCTAAACACAAATACACCCCCTGCTTTAAGGGTGCACGCGATCAATTCGGCATAGGGCTCATTCGAAAGGGCACGGTTTAGCCTTTAATTTCTGATATATGCAAAATTTGTACCACGTCAGGGTTCAGCTCTATAATTTTTCGAAAATGGCCAAAAACGCTGTTTTTAGGGGTTTCAACCCCTTTTTTCGTGACGTGATGGGACATTTTTGACCCCGGATTCGTGTTCAGCACGAAAAATCCGTTCAGAAACACCAGGTCCCGTCTTATTCGCAGAAAAAAAGTTGAAATTTGTAGACCAGTGTTATTGATACAAATATTTGGTAAGATACGTGTCTTCTTGTTTTTCATAATCTGTCAGAAAAATACTATGACACCCCAAGGATTATTATTATTATTTTTTTTTTCATTTTATTGCACTATGTAATTTGCTAACATTTGTTGTTGCTTTTGTTGTCTTAGCTTTTGTATCGAGGCAAGGTCAGATTCACGGTATTTAGCTTGTATAGTTTGATTTTTTTTTTGACATGGGAATAGACTGTGCGTAATAATATGATTTCAATTTTATAAGTTACCTTCGTTTGATCTCATTTGGCTCATATTCAACAAAGAACGGCTCAGTGTAGGCGTGTATCGTTGAAGCGTTGATATATCGCTTCCTTGTACGTTGGCACCCGTAGAATCGCCAGACCGCAATATCACAGAAAATCCATTACTACTGCCATTGCTTGGACCAGAACCAGGCGGCGATGCACATGTATCGTTTTTACACGCGGCAATAGCAGCCGCTCCCTGAGCCCGCAGGAGGGACGTTGGTGGCAAGTGCATGCTACGTGGATCAACAAAGTCGACTATAACCAAAATGAAATATGTTTTAGAAATAATATGCATGTAAAATATGAATAAATTTTAATTTCCTTACTACTATACCCGGCTGGAACAATCATTGACGAACCAGCAGCAACGGAGCGCCCAGAATCCAACATATTGCTCGTTGCTGCTAAATTACCAGCGACATCTACACCAACGCCAATTGACGGTGGCGGCAACTGATATGTGTTGCATTCATAAGCCCCGGCCGAATTTTCCATTTTAATATGACTGACATTCGTCGACAGCAAATCGTTACTGGTCTCATCAAGAATAGATGCTATGTATATTAATGGCAAAAATATTGATTATGGACATTAAAAGTATATGTCTATTTGCATATGTGTATTTACATTAGCATAATACGAATATGTATATTCCTATAGATATTTGTTCTGCTCTAAACCTACCTTTGGAAAGCCTCCACAATTCCTTGGATGAAAAAACACCAGTAGCCAATATTATATCATTACATATAACTCCATTGTAAGGATTGTGGCTGTAACCTATGTATACGTAAAACTGATTAGTTCATGCTATAATTTCTTCACAGAGAGAACTCCCCAGATTCTGACTCAATATTTTCTTGATTTTTCAAAAGAATATTTTGTATGAAGCGCCTTGCACTAACCAAAATTAACATTAACAAACATTCTTTCCGCAACCATCTAAAAGCTTGAAAATGCCTAAAAAGTTATTGAGAAAAACATTTTATCTTCTAATCCTGTCGCAAGAATCAGCCAACACCAACAAGTAAAAATGTGAGGTAAATATATAAGGCTGAAGTCGAACTGGCTTATAACTAGGGCTCGGAATCCCATGCAAAAAAAAAACCTGTATTTGCGCATATTTTAGTATATTTTACAATAAATGCATATAGTTTTTGCATATTTTTGCTTTGTTTTTTTATTTACAACCATTTTAGTGCGAATATCTTCTCTGATAGCCAAGCAGCCATTAAGTAAGCTGACCAACCGTCCTCGTTTGAGGAGGATTGTCCTCCTCAAAAATGATTTTTCCTCCTCAAAAATATTGTCCTTCTCTGTCCTACTTTTGAGCAAAAATGTCCTCCTTGTCCTCCTTTTCAAGTTTTATAGAAGTGATGAAATTTTCAAAAAACTTCATTCAGAATATTATTACATACATATTTCCTAATCGTACACAATCATTGTATTTATATAAAAGACGTTTACAATTTTTCAACTTTCAGTTAAATGATGTAAACTTTTGATTCAACTAACCGCCTGTGAAAGTTGAACATACCCATCCCAGGATCCATCTTTCCGATAAAAAAAAAAAGAATTATTGAAAAAAAATAATATTACGACGAATTGATTTGTGTTTTCCACAAAATTTCGACGTAGGAGTGAAATAAACAATAGTCGCAAAACAATATATATATATATATATATATATTTGGACGATCCAAAATAACTAACCTAGCGAATTTATGGCCTTAAAATGCCTTATTTACTGAGAAGGAAATTCTCCCATTTGGAAACATTTTTATTTAAATTTTAAAACGTGTCGGTGGCCATTTATAATTATGCAACGCAGTGTACTATTAACTTCCTTGACTTGTGTTTAGAGAAACTTTAAATTGTTACTTTATTCGTTATTTATGTGTTAAAATGAAAATAAAAATAAAAAATAAACAAACATATACTGGATGTATAGTCGCATTTTTAAACAGATTTTTTGGAGTGTATATGGGAAATCTTTGCACGCCGTGGGCGAGAACTTAATGTTAGTATTTAGGCTTCAAATTTTCAGGGAGTTTTTTTTAGGTGTTTTCCACAAAATTTCGAGGTAGGAGTGAAAAAAAACCAATAGCCGCAAACGAATCCAAAATAACTAACCGAGCGAATTTATGGCCTTAAAATGCCTTATTTACTGAGAAGGAAATTCTCCTATTTGGAAACATTCTTATTTAAATTTTAAAAGGTTGTTTTATATGGACTTTTTTGGTAAACAGTTAGACTTTTATTTCAAAATTTTTATCAACAAGTAAAGATGGCTGCAAGTATCTATTAATAAACAACGAATTAAAATATGGCAATTTTTGAGCGAATAAAATAAGATTTTCCCTCTTTTCCCTACATGTACTAACACCGATTTTTCATAATTTATTAGAACTATTATACATTTCTGTGTTATTAGCGAACTAGCGATCGCAATAGCCATAAAAAATCACTGACACTGGAAAATCACTATTTCGCCCATCACTAATGTTCTTGTGGTGTGATTGTACCTGCTGCTTGTGCAACATCAAAAACGATTTGAAAACGATGCTGGTGTCGTGAAATGATGAAATTAGCGCATTTTTTTTAGTAAAAAGTTTTTTGGCGGAAATTCGTTGCACTATATGAGTCAAATCCGTGTTTCTGGAAGATTAAAGTTCTCAATATTGCAGTTGTGAGTTAAAAAAACCATTGTTTAACAAAATGGTAGAAAAATTATGAAATTTTGGCTCTAATCGTTTCGATCTTTTCAGGACCTCTTTTTTAAAGAAATAAATATTGTACCTGCTTGCTGCTATGTTATGTGCTTCAAGCCTGATGGTTCAATCACCTTGGTGGTACCAGCAAGCTGGTGTCGAGTATTTCCCTTTTTACCAAAAAGGGTTTTGGTTGCACACTGGCCGAAATTTATATTTTTCTGGCATAAATTCTAAAAAGAATGTTATCATTTTCAAACTTGTTACATACATATGCTCTTCATGCTATTAGCAAGTTATGGTAAAACTTTTGGGACGATCAGGTAACCTGTACGCCCCGCCTTCCCCTCTCTACTTATATAACGTTGCTTTTGAGCGATAACCTTTTTCAAAACATTTTAAAACTTGCTTAAACCCCTTTAGTATGGCACCCATATTGTAATACATATTTCAATTAACTAATCACCACAGTTCGAAGTTGAATTTGCTTGTTTAAACATGTGGCAGCCCTACTAAATATAGTTCTGAATAAAGCCCTTCAAACGAATTTCGATTGATACCAATCTCCGTCAAACACCTCAAAAATAGCTTAAATATTCAAACTAAAGATTTCTTAGCACTATTTCGTTTCGACTTTTCAAACAGGGGGCAACCCTTACGAAAAAATATGTACTGCACATCTATAGGCCAAGCTCTTGGCACCTTATTTTCTGTAAATTGAATGAACAGTGTAAATCTCATGTCATTAACAAAAAAATTATATGTTTATGTAAGGGTGGCAACCCCGCTAAAAAAATAAAACCTTATTGCACATCCGGGGGCCGTATCCTTTCACTTTGCACCTCATTTTTAGTCCAACTAACTGTGAAGATAGTTGAACTAGCTTGCTAGTTCAATACAAAAATATTGTTTAGTATTACCTATACTTTAGTATTATACCTTGACCTTTATTTTCCATATCTTATTTTGTTTGTTTATTTATTTACAGTCTACAGAATTCAATTCTTTCAGACTAATTAGAACTATTAAAATAATTAATTAAATTGCATAAACAAATGTAATGTAAACTTATTAATATTCAGATCAAAATCTATTAAATTTGAGTATGTATTACAAAGCCTAACACATCTAGGAATTGGTTCATTATCACCATAATTGGTAGAGTGCGTTGCACATTCAACCAGCCGATTATTCCTCAGGTTTCGCGGTGGAATGTATAATTTAAGCAAATTTGCAAGATACGTACAGTTAACACAGCCATTAATAATATTGTATAACTTTGCAAATTATAACTTTCTTCTCTTGATGTTAATACAGAACTAAACTTTATTCACTTACAATCTACCCTAGTTCCTTACTTGCGGTTTGTAGCTACCCTGCAAAAAATTGGGCGACTAATCTCTAAAGAGAGTATTCCGATATTACTCTCAATCGGGTACAATTGGGCATTAATTAGTCCCAACTAGTCTAGTACGGGTACTAATGGAGGTCAATTAGTCTCGACTCATCCCTTATGGGTATAATTGGAGATCACTAACGGGTACTAACAGCGATTTAATGATATGTACGCACTTAGTCAATGAAATTTCATGTGCGGCGTTGGCACACAGAGAGAGTATTCGCCTAACAAAACTGAGCACCCCGGTTCGAATCTCAGCTGGCTCAAATTTTTATTTTTATTTTTTAAAAGTGACTAGTCGCTTTTTATACCCATTTGGGTATAAAGGTGAACAATTAGTCTCTTCATAGGACATGCTCGAACAAAAGCGATCAGTTCATTCCATATAAAGAGATCAAAAGTGGTATTAGTCGCATGCTCCTTTGCGATTGCTCCCGGAGTCATCCCGGATTAGTCCCATTTTTCGCAGGGTAGTCGCTGATTCGTCGATGTGTTTGTATTGGTGTAGATGCGCTGCCCGATCTGGCTGACTTAGTATAGATGCGCCGGTAGCTCAAACCGCCCAAAGTCACGTACGCTATCAGGTGTCCGTTTTGGAATGTATCTGAATGGCAAGACAAGCGTGGGAGTGATTCTGAAGAATTGTCGATCAGCTTGGCAGCTGTGAAGTCTGTTTATAAATATCCAAGAAGCTATGCAGGCGTGGGAGTGATTCTAAGGAATCATCAAACCGCTGTTTTAGCTTTGCAGCTGTGCAATATGCTAACTTATATAAGAATTATATAGAAATATAGGACTGCAATGTAAGTAACTTTTGCCTCCCAATATAAGAGGGGAGGAAACTATGCCACGATAACTTACACAAAGCGATCTTTGTAAATACCTTTTGAACGCGTTCTCTTCTATTTGAATGTATATCGTAATAGGGACTCTATATTAGAGAACAATATTCTAGGCGACTCCTGACTAGTGAAATATAGAGAGATTTCAAAGTAAATGGATCCTTAAACTCTCTGGTGTTCCTTCTTAAAACCCTAACATTGCAAAAGCTTTGGATACCATATAGTCTATATGTTTCGAGAAAGTAATTTTCGGATCAAAGATAACACCCAAATCTTTCATTTCATTGCATCTGGATAATGCGCAGCTATTTAACTCGTAATCGTATACAATGTTATTATTAGCCTTCCTAGAAAATGTAAGAACGTAACACCTATTTATATTCAGTTGTAGCCGATTTAATCTGCACCATTGAACCAGCGCGTCGAGATCATGTTGTACTTTACAACTGAGTAGTCGCGCACAACAGAGAACAACTTCACATCAGCATACAATAAATAAGCATTTAGAAAACTTAAAGCAATCAGGCGGGTCCTTAATGAATAATGAAAACAGGAGTGGTCCACAGTAGGTACCCCGCGGTATTCCTGACACCGCCTCAACAATAACTCTTGATCCTGCACATCCAATTTTAACAAAGAGTCTCCTTTGTGTCAGGAAGCTTGCGAAGAAATCAAGTAATTTACCACTAGCATCATAGTGGTTTACTTTATGAAACGCTTTGGAGAAGTCCGTATAGATAACGTCCAATTGCGCGCGACTTTCAAATGCGTTAATTACGTGATTTGTTAATAAGGCTAAATTTGTACAGGTTGATTTTCCCGGAAAGA